GTGGGAGAATATTCAGAGTGACATATACACACTTGTTTATGTGGAAAACCGAATACAATGGAAACAAATATTAGAATATAGTAGATGAAAAGGTAGACACACACTGCGTCCATGTGCATACCACATTTTTTGTATTATAATAACTAAAACAATGAATTTTTATCTCAAAAAGTAGTTAACATGTATTAACTATAGACAAAGTATATAAAGAGTTAAGACTTCGAGAAATACAGTGGAGAAGGTATCATTATCGAATAGCCTTGCCCAGAGCATTTCTTCAAGCTCGACCCCTATTTCCAGACCTATCCAATAGGCGTTCTTGAAAGATTTAACTTAATAAATTGAGTTTTTATAAAACTAGCAAGCAACCCTAGGACTTCGGCAACTACTTATTTAAAGTCATGCTGAAATTCTAAATATTCACACTCTATTTCCATACTCAAGCGATAAAAAACAATTGTAGAGGCAAAATAAAAGGTACAGCACCTAAGACATACGATTTCATTCAATTCCAAAAAATAATGAGAAAACGTTTCATAAAGATGGGGAAAATTAAAGGTGTAATCATAAAAAAAGACATGAAAATAGAGCCTTGGAATAATCTATACCTATAATAAGAAGTCTTTGTTGCGCCGAACGAAAAATATAACGCCGGGATGCCCAAAACGTCGGGGTCACTGAACATATGGTCACCGGAGATGATGTTTGTTGCTTCTCGAGGATGAAGTTGTGTCGTCGACGCGTCATCAGTTGCTTAATAGAAGAAGGGGTGCGATGTAGATCTATCACGAAGAAGGGTAATCCTCACCAAGAAGAGAGAGCGTTGATGTTGTTATGAATAATCTTAGCGCTACCTATCTATCTATTCTTGTGAATGGTGTTTCTCATGGATTCTTCCAACCTACAAGAATGGTTAAGCAAGGAGACCCACTTTCTCCTTTCCTTTTTATCTTGGCATCCGAGGCATTCTCTAGAGGGCTTAATTGGTACATTGAAGCTAATCTCATTAAGCCTTATTGGATGGGTAAGGTGGGTTATCCTTTATCCCACCTTGGTTTTGCGGATGATCTATTAATCTTTCTTAATGAAGAATCAAGATCATTGCTAAATTTCAAAGAATTCCTTAATACCTACCAAGCTGCCTCAGGCCAATCGGTTAATCTTGTCAAGAGCTCTTTCATTTGTGGAAAATTTGCAAGAGGCCGAGTTAAAACAATCAACAGGATCCAGGCAATGCAAAGAAATAGCCTACCTATCAAATATCTTGGAGTCAATTTGCATAAAGGAATAAATAGATTCAATTATTGCACTGAGTTGATTGATAAATTTGAAAAAAAAAACTCACTCCCTGGAAGCAGAAACACTTAACTCAAGGAGTCAGGCTTGTTCTTATAAAGAATGTGCTTAGCTCCATTCCACTCCATGTTCTCGCAGTTGATAATCTGCCAAGAAAGGTTATATTCATTTTAGAAAAAAAATGGCTTCTTTTTGTGGGGTTCCTACAATGACAGGCCTAAATATCATTGGATTAAATGGCCAAATTTATGTATGCCTGTTGAAGAAGGAGGGTTGGGTATCAGATCTCTGTCTGACTTAGCGAGATCCTTTTCTGTGAAATTATGGTGGAAATGGAGAAATAATAACTCTTTGTGGGCCAATTTTATCAATGCTAGATATCACAAGGGGTTAGATATGGCTCCTAAGATTACTGAGGAGGAAGAAGAAGAGGAGCTTACGGAGGAAGCTCAACCAGAGGAGGAGAAACTTCAAAACTCAACTCCATCACCGGCCATTCCTGAGAACATGCCATCATTTCCTGAGGCTCTAAGGGAAACAGAAAGGGTAGAGAAGGACAAAGATGAAATCCTCAGCAAATTTGAGGATAATTCAAATGTACTTTTCGCGGTTGAAAATAAACCGAGAAAATGACAGTGGAGTTAAGTAAACATTTGATACCCCCTCTCATGCCACCAAGATCAAAACACTTTTCATTGACCATCCTAAATGATAATTTCTTTCCCTCACTCTCACCACATGAATCAATGAAAAACTGGATATTTGATCCTGGAGGGATTTTCAAAGTGAAAGGTCAGAGAAACAAGCATTCCTATGGAAGCCCTAGGAGTGAAAATGTGGCGAAGCTAAACTATCACGATCCAAGTTTAAATGATTGAACACAATGATGGCGTCGTGCCGCGACGTTAAATAAGGCGCTTCTTGGGAGGCAACCCAAGCAAGGTACGTTTACTTGTTTTAGTTTATTTTTACACATTTCAAAAAAAAAATGGTCTGGGATTGGACCCGGCCAGGTATAAACCCTAACCCGGTCGGGTTACTTCTAAAAACAAAACACCCGGGCAATCACCCGGGCGAGGAATGAGCAAAACAAGAATAAATTTTTCGCCCGACCGGGTAGACCCCCATACCCGGTCGGGCAACCCAGCAAAAGCTTTCTGCCTTGGGTGAACAGTTTACACCCGACCGGGTAGACCCCTATACCCGGTCGGGCAACCCAACAAAAAAAAATCCTGCCTCGGGTGAACAAAGTACGCCCGACCGGGTACACTACCCCACCCGGCCGGGTATCTCGATTTTTTTGGAAACCAGACCATTTCTCATAAAAAAAATGAAGCACCCCCCTTTTGTCTTCCCTTTCGAACCACACCCCAAATTTCCTCCATTTCCAAAAGTCAAAAGCTTCATATCTCCTACATCCATCCACCAATTAAACTCATTTCATTCATCACCTCTTCACCCTTTTCATCTCCACACCCACGAATCACCAACAAAACCTCCCAAAAAGTATAAAAAAAAAACACATTCATCTTAGACACGAGCACTAGGGACAATGCTTTGATTAGCTTGGGGGGAGAGTTTTATGGAATACTCACATTCATACTCTTTATTCTTGTAAAAAAAAATTATAAAAGCTTGTTAAGTTGAAAACCTGAAAGGGCAACTTAAGCAAAAATAAAGCAAAAATAAGAGTGAGTTGTGAGGATTAAAACAGAAAAATGTGGGAAGCTGGGATGAAAACCCGAAAGGGCACCTAGGCAAAATGAGAGAACGAGAGAAGGTATTTTCTTTTATTTCTGCAGGATCCTAAGGGTAACGAAAAAAAAAAGGTTGAGGTTGATAAAGAAATATGGAGTTGAAGACCCTCTTTACTGTTATATTTTTGGGGATTTACTTTATGTGTTTCTAAAAACACTCGGGGATGTGTGTGTTGATATTCTTGTCATTTTAAGGACTTCTTGGATCGGATTTGATTTACTCGAGACGAGTAAAGGTTTAAGTGTGGGGGTGTTTGATGCACACTAATTAGTAGTGCATAATTACATGTTTTTATGTTTGATTTATGTTAATTGTTTGACGTTTTATTTAGTTTGTAAACATTTATGTGATTTCAGTTGTAATTGTATCTTAGTCTTTATTTGTCAGTTGTAAAGTTTAGTTAGGATTTGTGGTTTTGGAAAGGGAGACTTTGAAGTAAAGAAAAAGAAGATTTGGCTGCCCAGGAGAAAATACCCGATCGGGTATAATACTTGACCCGGTCGGGTAAGAAGTGAAAAACGAAAATGCAAAGAAAGTGCATGACCCGGTCGGGCCCACTACCTCACCCGGTCAGGTGAGAAGTGACCGGGGATAACCCGGTGTGCAAAGATCACCCGAACGTGAAGAATATCCCATTTTTGCACTCACCCGGTCGGGTCCCTTACTTGACCCGGTCGGGTCTGACTTGACCCGGACACTTTAACATGCCAAAGATCACCAGAACGTGGCGGATTATCTGATTTTGACCGGACCCGGTCGGGTAAGTACTTGACCCGGTCGGATACCCGGCCAAAGGTGTTGAAAAACACCTATAAATAGCACACTTTTTCGTCACAAAAAATAATCCCTTCTTCCATACTCTTTAGCTCAGTTTAGAATAACATTTCTTTATATTTTTCTAGCTATGTTTAGTCTCCAAATGAGGAGCTAAACTTCCATTCTTGGTGTTGCTCTTGAAGCTTGTTGATTATCAAAGTTGTGAGTTATTTTATTAACTTCTTTCCTTGAATATTAATTAATAGTTCTTTCCTTAATACCATCTCTATATTGATGTTGAGGAGTGTTGCTAAGATGACAATTAGTTAACATCTCGACATTAGTTAGAATGATATTTTCTTCCTCTATATTAATATTGGGGAGTGTTGCTAAGATGACAATTAGTTAACATCTTGATATTAATTATAGTAGGATTCATCTTCTTTAATAATATTCTTCCTTGAATATTAATTAATTCCTACTCTTATTTCATATTAATATTTTCAACATTACTTAAAGGATCAACTAGTTTTGTTTCATATATTAATTATTACTAGAAACGATCAACGAACCGATGGTTAATCGTTGATGGTTTCACAAGTAAGTAACTTCGGTTTATTAATGCACGGTCGTGGTTAATAAACTTAAGAGGGATTAGTTTTGTTGGTTAAACCGAAACCGCTTGTGTTAAGGTTATCAATCTCAATTGATTTCATCAAGGAGTTAGAAAGATTAAATGCTACTATTAAATCGGTATACGGCGTTGTTCTATATTTGATTAATATAATAGTAAGGGTTATTAATGAACGGTCGTTATTTCTTAAATGCATAGTTGCTCAACCTATTTGGTCCTACTTTATGGGTATTTTTGGTATACCTTTTCCAAGCCAGACTACTACAATTAGGCAATGATTTATGGCATGGTGGCTTAAAGAAGGGAAAAAGAAGCCTACAGATATCTTCAAACAGAATTTGCCTGGGATTATTTGCTGGCACCTTTGGAAGGAATTTTCTAGCATCATTTAGGGATCAAGCGCAGGTAGGCCAAGGTCTGAGAATATCATCTTTAAAATTAAGGAATTTACTCAGAACTGGGTTGTTGGTCTTTCTAATCTGAGATTGGTATCAATTGGAAATATATTGTTTGAGTAGAAATTGATTCCAAATAATTATAAATTAAAGGGGGTCTATTTCAAGGCTGTAAGATGGAAACGTCCTACATGAAAATTAAAAATGAATACTGATGCAAAATACCTGAATAACTATGCAACGGGTGGAGCTATTATGAGGAACACTGAAGGAAAGATGATTTTTGCTGTTTCATATCCTCTCCTTGCAGCATCTTCCTTGGAGGCTGAAATTGCATCCGTTTTCTATGCGATTGAATGGGCGCTGAACGAGGGCTACTTGGATTTCATGGTTGAGATGGATGCCGCAGTAGCTCTCAGGTATATCACCGAAGGCGAGGTGGGAAGATGGAGAGCCTCGTTTCAAGAAAATCTACTGAAGGCTAATAGGAAAGGTGTTAGCTTCAGCCATGTTTTACGTGAGGGTAACTGGGTCGCACATTTTTTGTCTGAATCTTCATCGGCCCAAATCAATAAATTCAATATGATCTGGTTTCTGATCTTCCTGGTCCGGCCCGTCAAGCTTATCGATCTTTGTGATTTGTTTAATATTCTATCTTTTAGATATGCTTATTAATGTTAGCCATTGGGTCAGTTTTAGCCCCCTCAATGGCTTTTTTTTCTTATTAATATTGGTTGTATTTTGAGAAGGTATGCCTTCTCTGGAGGGGTATTGGTTTGATCCCCCCTCTTTTTGTACTATTTTCTTATCTTAATAAAATGCGGTAAATGTTCCCCGGCATTTACCCCACTGATTTTGGTGGTTTGCCTTTCAGGTTAAAAAAAGTGAAGTAAAATATCAAAGGTAATCAGCCTTGGTTTTGCTAATTTCCACTTGGTGAAATGCTCGCTGATCATTGTTACTACTTAAATTATCCCTCTTGAATACTTAATTGAGGAAAAATTCCAATTCATCTAGAATAGCTATATATTAATAACGAGACGCGTTCATTAATAACTCTTATTATTAATTAATCAATATAGAACAAGCGCCATATGTTAATCTTAATAGTACGTAGCATTCGGTCGATTTAATGAGATAAATTAAGAACGATAACTTGTAACCCAAGTTGAGTATTCTCGGTTGTCACAACGAGAACCTCATGTCTAGCTATTCTATCTAAGTCATCCATTTGTCATCTAATGAAATCGAGTAAGATTGATAACCTCAACACAAACGATTTTTTGGTTTAATCAATATAATTACTCCCTTTTAGATTACTAACCATGAGTCGCATGCATTAATAATCTATGTTTACTGCTTATGAAAGGACTAAATGAATAACAAACGTATTCATTAACCGATTCCACTAATAATAATTAATATGAAAACATCAACTAATTGATCATTTAGTGATGCTCAAATATCAATATAAAATATAAATAGGGAAGTAATTAATATTTAAGAGAGAAGGATTAATTAAATAACTCATAACTTACAAATCACAAGCTTTAATATAACAAAACTAAGCTCAAATGACTACCTAAATTACAAGAATAGTGTCTATATGAAAGAGGGGATTGATTTGTTTCTAAAATGGGAAGGAAATGGGTGTTTTTATAGAAGAAATGAGATGGTTGGGTCTGATACCCGACCGGGTATCGAGGATACCTGACCGAGTATCGAGGATGCCCGACCGGGTATCCTTGATAATAGCTATGAAAGTGCTGAAATCTAGTCATACCCGACCGGGTATGTCAATATATCTGATCAAGTATAAGACCAAATCTGATTTTCCCATGTTCTCTTGCTTTATTTAATCTCGTATGCCCTATGGGTGAAATCATACCCGATCGGGTATTACATATACCCAACCAGGTGTGATACCAAATCGGATTTTTCACATATTTCTTTGTCTCCCATTAAGTTTCTTCTTGTCTTCAATGCTCCTTCCTTATATGCTCCCAAGCTCCTTCCTCTTCTTTTCATCATGTTTCTTTTGTAAATGGCAATATATGACACTTGCCAATACAATATTTATAATGCCTTGACAATGTCAAAATGACAATGAATCCTCCTATGTTTTAATATGCATGCCATTATGATGATATTCAAGTTATCAAATAGCATTTTAAAGCTTCCATATCTCAGGGCAGTGGTAGAGTCAGAAGAGACAAGGGTGACCGGAGTGAGGCGACACATAATCCGGCGGCGACAGTGGATGAGGTGGGGATGCTGGCAACTGGCGGCAACAGAGATGATGGCTCCAGCGATTGGCGGTAACATCGGCGGCGGCGGAAGAGATGCAGTGGCGGTGATGTCCGACAGAAGTGGGGCGGAGATGTGGTGGCAGTGATGTCCGGCGAAGGCGGAGAATGGAGGTGGTGATGTTTGGCGGCGACAGCAGGTCTAGGTGGTGGTGGTGTTGGCATAAGACTTGTGACACGCAGGAAGAGTCCAATGTTGTACTCCGTATATGCTTTTATTTATTATTCTATTTTATTATTTAATAAACATGTATGGGTTCGACTCATATTGTTTTGCTCCTATTCAATCTTATGGAACATAGGACTCCTACTTTTGCTTCTCTCTCTAAGGGTTTGTGAAGCAGCGAGGGGTCCGCCGCTAGCCAGCGCCAGTTTCAACTCTCCACTTCTCCAGCCTGCCGGCTGCCACCACGCAACGACGACCGCCTCCAGCTCCAGGACCACGACCGCGCCACTGCACCAGTCCGCCTCAGCTAGGATTTTGACCCTCGTCTACGTAAGTTCTACCGCAGCTAGGATTTTGACCCTCGTCTGCGTAAGTTGGGGTCGGCAAATCTCTTCGCTCGACGTTGGACGATACAGGGACGGATTCCACAATCAAGGATTGGAGCAGCAAAGACCAATTCCAAATTTGATTGGGTTCGTGCGACTAATCCGAATTGGGATGTGGAGACTACTCGTTCTCGAATCGGTTTTGTTCGTGCAGTACCAGGGTCATGAGAAGGAGGCGATCCACGGGCAGATCGAAGTGATGAGGGAAGAAGATAAAGGGATGAAAATTCTCCCCCCTCCCGAACCACCGCCATGGATGAACTATGCAATTAGGGTTTGGAAGACTGCTTTACTATCTCTAGTTTTTTTTTTTTTTTTCAGTCCATACTATTCTACTATTTCTATTTTGCTCTTTTTAGGATAAACAATAAGGGGGTAGAATGATGCTTTGTTTTGTTTTAGTTGATAGATTACTCATTGGAGGCAATCCGACTAATTCAACCGCTAATAGCCTCAAAGCTCTCACATTTTCAGCGATCAGTCTCGCTCTTTTTGGGATAGACTATTCTATGTATGATCTATGAGTGAGGAGGCCGCTGGGCTTTTGGTCATTTTGGGATAGAGGAGTTACTTTATTGTTTGCATGTTACTTTATTGTACTGTGAACTTTATTTTATTATAATATGTTAGTTTTCTGTCAAAAAAAAGGACTCCTACTTTTGCACTTTAGTCATATTTTAACTCCCGCTTACGGAATTATCTCTATCTTAATATAAGTCCGATTTTTCTCAAAAAAAGGTAACTATGAGGAAAAAATACCACCTTTTCCTAAATTTTTTGCTTGCTATTAGGCATAGAAGACAATTAAGCCAGCAAAATTATAATAGAGAAATGAAAATTGAAATGTAGTTTCGTATAATATTAGACTCCACAAACATTTTGAAAATCATATTTATATAATCCAGGTCAGCAATCGTGCCCGTACAGTTTGATCAAAGCAGCAAAAATAAAAGAGCAGTAGAAATATAAATTAGCTAGACATGCAATAATGTCTCCAATTATCATAACAAACATTAGAATGGAAAATTGATCTTCTTGATGCATGATCCAAGCCACAGTTCCAGCAAGCTAGCTAGCTAGGTTGTCTTTCTTCATACATGAGTATATATCTCAGCTATTTCACGACAAAGAGCTGGCCGGCCGGCGGGATGGATCATTTCCCCTTGGAGCTAGGAACATTAGCTGTCGACGGTTGAGGATGGCACATCATGCAAATCAAAACCGCTGTTTTTAGTTTTAGTTAGAATAAAGCCTCGTTGAGAGAGAAATAAACCATTATTTCACAGTATGTAGTATTTTATTTTCAATGGGGGGGGGGGGGGGGGGGGAGTTACTTTGATAATTAATCAGACGTAATTAAGTTTTATTATAAGTGTTAGGCATCTAAAATAATGGGTTTCAAATTTCATTTTTGTAAGGTGAACATGACATTTTCCTGTTGTGAAGTTGTCTTCAATTACTTGATCTTGAAAGATGTTCTAAAACTTAACATTACCACATAAAAAACACTGGAACAAGAAAATAAATACTCCCTCCATCCCATTTTATCTGTCCTCTTTCCCTTTTTGGGGTGTTTCAAAATAAATGTCGTGTTTTCTTTATTGGAAATAAATATGCAGTCTACAACATTTCACTTATTATATTCAAATTTCAATTACAGTTTTTACTTTTGCAACCATTTTATTAATATTGTAACAAATCAAAGTATGACACCCAAAATAGGACGAAAGTAGTAGTTCTTGTATGAGACACGTGGCATAATTTACACTATGAACAGATGTAATTTTTGTGAAATAAGCTATAATTTCATTTTTTATACCATTTTACTTTGATTGCTCTAATCTAGTTAAGATCTGAGGTACGTCTAGTTTAGTACATAATATTACTATATTTGTTCCGATAAGGGGAAAGGTACAAATATATCTCTGTAGTATGGGTATGAGAGTGAATATACTCATGTTCTATTTTTCGTAACAAATTTATCTTTGAAGTGTATGTGGAAGTGCACATATACCCTTGAAATGTATGTGGAAGTACATATATGCCGCAGAACTTTTAAAAGGTGCAAAAATACACCTCATATTCATAAAAAAGAGGAAATTTATCCTTATTAACTTTACATTAATAAAAGGAATTTCGAAAACATAAAAACTAAATTGTAAATTTGAAATTAAAAAATAAAAGATATTAAAAATGCACTTGTATCCCATGCTCCTTTTTATTGTTTGAATATCACAATTTAATATTGTTAATAAAACATATTATTTCAAACCTTTACTATATATTTAAGATTCTTTCTAAAAAGTATTAACATATGTGTTGCAAAGTAAACATATATTAATTTTTTGCATTCTTTGCACTATAAAATTACTTATTTTGGATGATGATAAAACATAAATAGTCCAAGCTTACAAAACGGTGAATTTTATTTTATTAAGGTTAAACAAAATCAAAGAATTATATTTCAAAAAATGTAATAATGTGTTCAAAATATGGCAACAAGACTAAAATTAAAATTAATGAATTTGGCGTGCTTCATTTAAAACGGAAAAATAATAATTTGCAATTTAAAATTAAAGAGTTAATATTTTAACATCATAACAAATCTTTATTTTTAAAGTTCAAGTTTATATTTATTTTTGGTGTTTTTGACATTTATTTTATTTATTTAAAGTCAATAAGGGTAAATTTGCTCCTTTATAAGAACATGACGGGTGTTTTTGGACTTTTTAAATTTAAAAAATCGAAAAATAAAACAATATGTAGTATCAAGTAAAAAACTTTAAAAAAAATAAAAAATGTTAAAAATATAATACTACCTCCGTCCCTTAAAACTTTGCCAAAGTTGACCGAAACGGAGAATAATAAAGTAAAAAGTGGGTGGTTAAGGTTTGTGCTGAGGAGAGAGAAATAACAGAAACAACAAAATAATTGATTAAAAGGGAAAGTGACAAATTTTTTTGGGACGTCCCAAAAAGGAAAGATCGCAACGTTTTAAGGGACGGAAGGAGTACAAAATATGCGGGCCTATTCTGCCGCCTCAGCAACCTCCTGGCACCACTAGCTTTGATCACCAGAAAAAATGCCAACATGTGTTATAAATGCCATCTTGATGGCATTTTTAAGAAAAAGTTTGGCATCTTCAAGAGTAAAAATGTCATATTCATGATATTTTAAGAGGAATTTGGTAGTTTTTACAAACAATGGCATTTTTTAGCCGATGAGAGATGACATTGCAGGGCAGTAGCCGGGACTATGGGAAAGACCTTCATATTTTTTAAAGGGATTTATATATTTTTATTTATTTTCAATGTTTATTTTTTTAAATTTTTTTTATTAATGTTTATGATTTTTGTAATTTTTAAAAATATTTTAGAATTTTGTGTATATTTAAACGATTTTTTTGTGCAAGTTAAATTATTTGTTATTATTTTTTTGTATTTACTACAAATTAAAATATGATTATCCTATTAAGTTATGTTAAGAGTAGAATCGAAAGATAGAGTATACTTTGATCCTATTCGGAGAAGATAAATAACATAATCCTATTTGTGCATTTAGGGATTAATTTAGTCCTCCTTAAGGCTATTATCTGTTAAAAGAATAGAATAGAGAGAAACTTACACTAACCGAAGGGGTAATTCATGTTCTTGCGGCTTAGAGTAATGAGGGGAAGATTGAAAGCCATCAAGTTGAAGGTAGTTCCGAGCATCAAATTGCTGGTGATGAGGCGGCGGTGGCGGTGCGGCTAGCTCATGGTGATGATGATGGTAGCTTGAACTCCCGGGCATTAACTCCATTTGCTGTCCCCTCTCTGTCTCTATTATCTACCAACAATAATCATATAAAAGACTAAGTTTTCTAAACTATTCCAAACTATTACCATCTTAATCTGTAGTTTTGTAAAATCTAAATGGTTAATAATTTTATAGGTTAGAGTTTGGAATAAGAATATTTATAATCATAACCCTAGGGGCAATAATAGTTCTGAAATAAAACTGGAAAATAATGTTGTGTTTCTTGTGTGTCTATGTCAATGTATTGGTGGTCCACCTTTGGTCTTATCTTTATATTTGTAACCATGTTCTTTATTTATTAGAAAAATATATTAATATGACTTTGTCAACTAAAAAATGATAATGTCATTTTAAGGTATTTTCATTTGGATAATTTTTTAACCGTGGTTCAATTTAGAATGTGTTTAATTGGATTGAAATTATTCTGGTCTGATCTTGATCCTTTTGATCTACTTACGTAAATATATTTGGTCTGGTGCTTGGTGTGAATTAGTCCATTCTGGTAGATGTCTGTTCTAAGTGTGTTTAGCAACAATTCTAACTTGGCATATTTTACAACTGTTATGCCATTGTTTGACCTATTTAAATTTTGTCTAGCCTAATTTAGTCTAATCTGGTCTGAGTTTGAAATAAGTAATACTACAAACATTCTTAGTTTATCTAAATCTAAGAGTTTTTGTCATTTTCGGTTCCACGACTATTGTGTCATTGACATTTTTTGTACTTGACTTTTTATTTTTTCAATTTTATTCTTCGACTATTGTGCTAAGGACGCTTTTAGTCCTCGACTTTAATGTTTTTCACATTTAGTCCCCTGAGTTTATCAAATTGAAACTTTTAGTTCTTCCACTATGATTTTGACACAATAAGTGGAGAACCAAAAAACCTCAATTTTATAAAAGTTGAAGGACTAAAAGTGTCACTTTTATGAAAATCGGAGGACTAAATATGGAAATTTTCAAAGACGGATACCAAAAGTGTTTCTAGCACAATAGTCGAGCACTTAAAGTGAAAAAAATCAAAGTTGAGTACCAAAAGTGTCTGACATAATAGTTGGAGAACTAAAAGTGGCAAAAAATCTAAATCTAATTATACTAATCAAACCATTTAAATCTGGTTTGATCAGAAGTACTTAAACGAGGTCTGGTACCACGTACGGAGTATATTTTAATGCTATCAAAATCTAGTTTACTCTAATCTAACCTATTCTTATTGTTTGAGGCTTTGAGTCTGTTTCTGTCTAATCATATATTTAAGTTTGATTTGATTTAGTATGTTCCTTATTTGATGAAGTCTAGTATGATTGGTCCAAATATGTCAAAGTGAACACATAGGCATTTCAAACAAGCTCACTTATTAGGCATCAATCCCATAATTAATATTAATACAACAATTAAGTGCAGACTGATTACAACAATTTGTTTCAAGATGCATTTCTGTTAGGTTTTGATTATACTTGAATTGAAGTTTTGATGCCGAATCTACCAATCAAAAGTAGGCTGAAACTACAGAAAAAAAGCTTATTACATGCCACCGGGCAGACTTTATAATATTCCTTCCATTCCATCATTACATTCCTAGTTGGACTTTTATGGTCTTCTAGGCACAATCGAAATATTTAAAAATCTATTCTTGTAAAACTATGATAAATTAACATTTGAATACTGTATGTAGTATATTACAATGAAGAATATGAAATGAATTTTGTGTGATGGAGCTATGTAAATTAGAATAAGTAACAATCAGAATTTATAGAGTTGACTCCAAAAGTAGAAATGGATATTATATTGTGAAATTTAGGTAATATTTTTCATAATTATATTATACTATACATAATATCAAGAGGTACATAGAACTCGGCAAACAAATTTTGCTCCTTTCCATTGACTAGAATTATCAAGTAGAAGAGAGGGTAGGATGGGGAAAGATAAATTAAAGGGTGAGATATGATTTCTAATTAGTACGATAAATAGAGTAAAAAAGAAATGCAGAAAGTAAATTAAATAGAGAGAAAGAAATTAAGTTTTTAATTAAATAAAGCCCGAGACTTTGTCAGACAAATCTCAGCTTTTAAGTTTCAACGTAACCTCATAAATTAAATAATTTGAAATCAATGAATATTTGAAAATTGAGAAGCCTTGCCATTATTTGAAATTTGGGGAAAGTTTATTTTTTAAATTTGGTTATACCTCGGATAACGGAGTCCAACCACACTGGAGGAGGAGTCCGAGTCCGCATCCGAGTTTGAGTCCATGTAAGAAAGGTAGAACATGAACCATAGACCCATAGTGACTTAGGTATGCTTCAATACCATCTTTAAGTCATTTGAGTTGACTTGAATGTGGCATCTATCATACAAGTTTAGTTATGGTACAAAAACGCGCGCTCACAATATTCTTACATTTTCTTGGAAGGTGACAACTCCGGTACCCGTTTAAAAAATGAGGTATCGTACTCATCATTCACTTGATTGGTGCACATCATTATATCATTTTTAATTTAGATTTAAATAATTCAACTGCAACATTCTCATTGATTCATGTGAACAAATGTATGGTACCTTATGGGTACCATACAATCTACCTTCTTGGAATGTAGTTGTATATGTAGGTATGGACCCAGTTCGATATCGGGCCGGTTCTAATTCAAGATTGGCCGGTCTTGGGAGCTAGGGTGAGTATGTGAAAATGTGGACCGAGCCCATCTCTAGGTATATGTATAAGTTTAATGTCATTGTATTGTATTGTATTGTATACTCATTAATTGAATTTATTTTCCATTCCATGGGCATAGATTGTGTTACTCTCGAGTCTTATATCACTCCGTTCACATTAATTCATTATAGTCACTGGGGTATTCCATAAAATACTCCATTTGTTCTTAAATTATTTAAAAAAATACCGGTGCCAAAATGAGGATTATCAAAATATGTGGAAGAAAATTATTTGAAGATATAAAAAAAGTAATATAAATCACATAATATTTTTGTTAAATAGATATGGAAATGACTTTTAAAAGGGAGGTGAACAAAGTGGTTGAATATACTAATTCATGGATGCAGTTATTATAAAATTGAGAAATTATCCAAAATAGGACTAAAAACGTGTGTATATTCCAAAATAGGACTATCATGTTTTTATTCCCAAAATAGGACTAGTTACTGTCATGTTTTAGCAGTATCGGACTTTAAACATGGAAGTATTTTCCAAAGCAGTAATTACTCCTGTTTTGGGAATAAAACAAATGACAATCCTATTTTAGAATTTTCAAACTTTTTTACTCCTATTTCGGGAATTTTCCTTATAAACTTATACAGATGGAGAGGGAGAGAACCTTTGCGCGGAGGTATTGGTTGTTATTATGTAAATCGATTTCCTGCTGCATGATATACATTGTAACAAAAAAATCAGAAAGTTTAACATTTGTGCCAAAGTAAAGCTAATAATTTGTGACTAAAAAATAAAAAATTGTATCTCATTATTTTACTCCGTATCATATCCCACTTTGCATTTCTTTTTTTAAGTCGTTTGAGTTAATTGACACTCCCCAAAACATAGAATCATAGAATTAAGTTAGGAAAGGGTAAATTTTCATCATCAAGCTCAAGAGCATGCACAAAAACAGAAAATAAGGGCATTTTAATTTCAGAGTGAAATATTATTAATCAAGTCAAGAAAAGTAAAAATTGTACGTTAAAATTATTACAAATCTTAACAATGAGATGAGAAGTTACCCTCTTTTGCATGTAGTCAATTTCGGCAAATAGCATCTCGTTCTGCAATTGTGAATACACAAATGTTACTATATATTGCAGGAATAAACTCAAACGTGGGATTTAAAGAAATTGTTTAAAGTACGAAAGGGAAAAATCAGGTAAATCTTAAAATAGGACTAAAAATGTTTTTAATTGGATAAAAATGTATGCTTCCTTTATGTGTATTTTACCAATGTCTTAGTCTAGTCTTGTCGGATTTGATTTGATCTAATCTGAGACTAATGACATTTTTAATTGGACTGTAATTTCCAAGATTAGTTTGTTTAAGTCTGGTCTGATGAATGTTTGTTCCTCTTTTTATCTCCTGACCATTGGGGTAATAAAAAACTTCTATTTATGGAATTTTGTTGAAAAATTATTAACAATTTAATGCAAGTTATATTAATAATAATTGGGAAAATTCCTGAAATAGGATTAAAAAAAGTTTGGAAATTCCAAAATAGGACTGTCATATTTTTGTTCCCAAAATAATAGTAATTACAGTCAAGTTTGAAAAATATGTCATGTTTAAATTCTGGTACTGCCAAAACATGACAGTAATCAGTCCTATTTTGGGTATAAAAATATGATAGTCCTATTTTGGAATATATATATATATATATATATATATATATATATATATATATATATATATATATATATATATATACACGGTTTTAGTCCTATTTTGGGTAATTTCTCATAATAAGTATACCTTCTTGGCACGGATTTTGCTGATTCCTTTCTCAATTTTGGACTCCAGGTTCTTGAGATCCCTAAGGTTTAACCCACCTAAACCTTCACCCATGTAGTTCCTGTAACAATTAAGGATGGTTTTAATATTTAAACAAATCAACAAATCTAGCAAGGACGAATGATTAATTGATCTGTTAATCACCTATTCTGGTTCTGCAAATTACTGATTTGTACGCGTAATTTGGATGCTTCTTGTTGATAAAACTGGGGTATCATGATTGCCAGGCGAACATAGATTTTGTCCAAAATTACAAATCGAGAAAAAAAGAAGTGAGAAACATATGAATTAATAAATTTCATATTGGTTCATGGACAATAATATAGATATTTAATAAAACCATATTTTTCTTGTTGCAAAAAGGTACCAACCTGAGCATTGGCTTCAGAAATGGAACCACTATTAGTGGTATCTGTGCAAGCCTTCTTGTACCTATCAATTGTTTCTTTCACACTGTACAAGGAAATCAAATTAAAATGTTGATTACCAGTACTTTAGCTTCCTAAGAACTTGAAAAACATATTCAAGTATTAATACTCCTTATATCCTATATTTAAGATTATATTTTAACTTCACCAGTTTTTAGGTGGAATAATATTTTATATTGACCTTGCTATTGTACCCTTATCACAAAAAGTGAAATGGAGCTAAAATCAAAGGGGTAAACTAGCAGTGGTAAGGATGTTTTTACTTGGATTATAATTTGCTGGTCTGGTCTGGTTTCTTTGTATTTTATAACTATCCAAGTCTGGTCTGGTCTGAACTGGTCTGGTCTGGTCTGAACTGATCTGGTCGGGTCTGATCTGATCTGATCTGGTCTGGGAGGAATTACGGTCCAAGTAAAAACATCTGGGAATAGTCTATTACCTTCTCTGGAAGTGAAAACTTTAATATAGGACATGACAAAGAGAAAAGTAAGAACTTATAAAAGGGGAGGAAAGAGTACATAAAAGGTCATTAATTATAAAATAATTACTAGAAATAAAAATATGTATATTAACTGATAAATCGGTCTTGCAAGTTAACAAAAACTCCAAGGCCAAATCTTTTTGAAAGGAAACGGATTTTAACGGATTTTGCAAAATATGTATATTTCTGAAGTTGATCTTTTAACGGATTTTAATAATTAGACATAATATGTCCATTCCAAAAGTCAACGGAATCTATCAATATAAATATTGTCCTAGATAGATTTTGAAGTGAATAAAAATTAGGGATGTCCAATCAAAGTCAATGTTTGGTTCCAGCGTTTTGGAGGAAGGGGAGGAAAGTGGGTGATTTGTGTGTGTTTTATTGAAGGAGATAGGGGGGAAAGGGAGGAAACTCGAAGGTCCAAAATCCTTGGCTTCTTTCCATTCTCAACCCCCAAATTAGGATATTTCGGTGGAAACGTTTTGGTAACGACAAACTATCCATCAATTTGCTCCTACATGAATGGACAAAACGTAGTAATACAATAAATGAAAAAAAGTATAATATAAATAAAAAATTTGAAATTTGAAAATTTTAAAATTTGACAAGTAAAAAAAACTAAAAAACTAAAAAATTAAAAAACAAAAAATTTAAAAATTAAAAAATGAAAAATTAAAATAGTACTACGTAGAAAATTAAAAAATTAAAACCTTAAAAATTTAAAAAATTAAAAATTAAAAAAATCAAGAAAATTTTAAAATTAAAAAATTAAGAAAATTTTAAAAAATAAAAAATATAAAAATTAAGAAAGTTTTATAAATTTAAAAAATTAAAAAATTAAAATTAAAAAATAAATTAAAAAATAGTTATATAATGACTCATGACCTTAGGAGTAATATTCATAATAGTTAGATGTATCTTGCTTTTTAAATAAGCTATTAAATAAAGGTTAATTCGGAAAATAATTTCTTTGAACTTCCCTCCTATTTTCTCTAACCAAACACATTTTTTTATCAAAATCCTTCCTTCCTCTTCCTTCCCTTCCCTCCTTGACTCTCCCCTTTCCTCTCCTCCTTTGAACCAAACAAGGCCAAAGGAATCAATTTGACGATAAATATAATGTTGAGAAAAGACAAACTTCATCCAAGAAGATAAAAAGGTTCTCTGAATGTTTTAAAACTACTCCGTATATGATATGTAGTATACATACCAGCATACCACAAGATTCAAACAAAGAAAAATGACATAATCCAAAATCTGATTCTAGGCAAACTGTCGCAATATAATTATGAAAGGTATCGGATTTTAACGGATTTTAACGGATTTTGCAAAATCATTAATATTTGCACCCCATCAGCTCAAAAATTATGAAGGAGTGGGGCGCAAAGTCAAATGACTTTAGAGTAAAATGGTGTGTAAATACTAATGATTTTGATAATGGGGTGTAAAGTCGAATATATCCTAAAATATGAAGTGCAAAGTCAAATCTCATAAATAAAAAACATAGTCAAAGTAGAACATGTGAATAACGTAAAATTTCATAAGTTGCACTTATTTAAGAACGGAGATAGGATGTTATAAGACTTGAATAAATAAGATAGTTTTTAAATATGCATGACATTTTCCAAACAATTAATTAAACTGGGGCAAAAAGTTTATTAAAAAAGGATAGAGCACAAAATAATTTTTTGGATTTTTTTCCCTATAATTTTATTAAAAAGAAGTTTTATAGATGAAAAGGGGCGATTGTTTTTTTAATTCGGTAGGCAAACCGCCCAAATTGGTGAATTAAATGTCAAGGAACATTTACAGTTATATTAAGATAGGAGAAAAATACAAAAAGAGAGGGGACTAGTAATTGAGATGTAAAATTTGATTCTAATCATAGTACTAAATGTTTCTCTGTGTTAAGTTACATTTCTGTCCTCCATCCTTACTGTAATCGCGTATGGACATTACTTCTTTATTTAAATCCAATGAGAGATTGAATTTTAAAACACCTCTAAAATGAAGGGTTAAGTAATTAAGATATTTAATCAATACATTAAGTTTAAGCGCCCCTTCTCAGAATCTGAATTGGCCTAGAGCTTAGATATGATTGAAATGCAAAAACTGTGCATTTAGTTATGCTTTATCAATTGAATCCTCAAAAGATTGGTACTTATACATAAGGGATTGTTCAAATAAAAGATGTCTTAACGTGTAAAATGAGAATTCATCTGAGTCGTCCAATTTATCAATCTGTTGCACAATAGTTTTTATCCAATGCATTGTGCATTAAACCGTATTTGATGCATATATATTGTGTGCATATATGTCTAGTATAGAAGCACCTGAATTATTATGGGCTAGTTTTGAAAAGAATCTGAAATTTATGGGCTATTTTTGAAAAGAATTAAATCAAGTAGTGAAACTTGTATTATTTGAAAAACATTTAATTCTGATTCTTCCTGTTAAATCAAACTGTATTTCACCTTGGCTAAACCTAATCCAACAAGCAAAGAACCGTCAAAGATGAAAAGCCAAGCTGAAAGAGAATCTGAGTGACTTGGTCAGGCTCATTCTGTCTTCTCGTAAGTGTGACATTGATTTAACTTAGTACCTTAAAACCCTATATACTTAAGGACACACATATCCTAGTCTGCTGCTACCTTAATATCTCCGAGCCACTGATTGGCTGCCTCTGCCAAGCTGGCACAAGTCCCCACATCTCCATCCCTCCACTATTCAACGGCCAGATCAGATCCTTAGCTTGGGTAATACCCATCTTCTTCACCCTTTTACCCGCCTAGGGTTACTCCAAAAATTACTCTTTTTATTTTTTACTACAACGTACTCAGTAATGTAGGGTAAAGTTGTGCACAGTACTATTGAGTCATGTCTGTCTGATCAAGAAAGCCTGATCTCATCATGGCCGTTCATTTTCAGCAGCCAGTTGCCATGCATGGGAGAAAGCCACAGAAGTACGACCCCTCTCTCTCTCTGTATCTCTCTTCTTTATTTCTCTCTCTATATGTATCTATATGCTAAGTCTTCATTGTTTGAATATTACATTCTCTTTCTTACACTTGTGTTTCTTTGCTGTTTAAGTTGCAACACTGTAAGACTCTTTGTGAAAGCTTGAGCTGAGATTTCTCAAAGCAAACAGCATTGTATGTTTATATGGAGGGTGGGTTTAATTTCTTGGATGAAATTGTAAAGGAAAAATCATAAATTTAATCGTTTTTACTACTACTGGTATAGCTTTTTGTCAGAAGTTGTAAACAAGCGTAAAATCTTGTGTGACGAGATCAAAGATTCTCTTGAAACCCAGACAAGAACTATATACCCACCCAACCCACCTAAATTTGGCTCTCAAAAATTTCCCATCCATCTATTCTAACTGGATGCCAAACTATAGAATTACAAGACTCCTATTTTCCTATCAGATGAAAGAAAATTTTTCATAGAATGAACCGCCATGACGTCTTATGTGACTGGGAGATGTGTTGATGAGTAATTAATAATTCCCTTTCAATTTCTTGATAAGCTAATTAATGCGCCACCTCAAGGATGTAAAGGTCAGCAGATTTGTAAGAAAAATATGGTAAAGATGAACAAAATTGGATCTTTAAAAAAAACATCTTTTATAATAGAGTTCTACAGATGGTTTTGTGAAGTGTTCTGATTTGGCAGGTATAATAAGACTTTAAATAAAACCCATAGATAAATCTACTCATTTATGTCCAAAACATGGTTAACCACTGAAACCCATGTCTTAATAACATAACCCTAGTTTTCACAAGATTATATTTTTTAAAAAGAAATGTTTTTTAACCCTACCATGCATCTTTTTGTGAAGGTTCTACAAATAGGTTTTAATAATTCTTGAAATGCCCAAATAAATGTACCGAAATAGAAATTAATTGAGTGATTTATTTGTCAACTCCACACAAAAAATAAATATAGGGCGATAAAGCCCTAGCTAATTGATGACAATTTATCTGGGAGTTAATTAATTAAGGGAATGCCAAGTTTTTGTAAAAACGGGCGAATCAGAGTTTGACAGGTTTCTTGCAAGTCAGAAAGCTTAGAAGATAGCCATGGAGGATGAATTCGATAATGGAAAGTGATGATCTCATGAAAAGATTTCTACTTTCTTTGCTTACCAAACCACAGATCTAAGCATCCCCCAAAGTCATGAGCTAAAAATGGGATCAGAAAAGCTAAGAAGAAGAAATCAGGCATATATACATGGAAAAAACATAACAGCAAAATAGGAAAGGCAAGTCAATCTTGCTTTGTTTTGTAAACAAAGCTCAAAAATCTCACAAGTCTTAAAACACATGACTATGTTGACCTTAAAACAAACCATGGGTACCCCCCTTTTAGAGAGACACGAAAAAAAAGGAGAGCCTTAAGCTGAGGGCCTTTACCTGTTGTTGGCATACTCATAGAGGCGGCCACGGCTAGAGAAGACAATCAGTGCCACCTCTGCATCGCACAGAACAGATAACTCATAGGCCTTCTTCAGCAAACCATTTCTGCGCTTGCAGAAGGTCACTTGCCGGTTTGTTGTGTTCTCGATCCGCTTGATTTCGATCTTTCCCCTCCCCATTTTCCTTTGAGGTGAAATATCTCTGGATTGATCGCTTTGGAACTCCATTCTTGATTCTCCTTCTCCCAACCTGGATCAAGAAAAAAACTGGTAAATCTAATCAAAGACTTGTTTTTTCTGAGGTCTACATAAAACTACTTAGAAATTTCAATCCTATCAAAATCTCTGTTATTTTTAACTTTATGAACTCATTCCAACAAATCAAGTCATGAAAATGAAGAACTTTGGGGAACCCATTCCAAGATCTGAAAGAAAACGATGCCAATCTTTTCTATGAAAATTGGAACACATAGGTGAAGCCTAAAAAGAGTGGTTCTTGATCTTGCAATTCATACGTCACACCCATCTGTGTACAACCCTAACCATCATAAGCAAAACAAAAAATCAAAGAAGATATGATTTTTTTCCAAACCGTGTGTGGGTTTACCCTTTTGTGATTGGATATGTTTTGAGGAAAAGATTATTGATCATAAATTCATAAGAGAAGTGAAGCATAAAAGACTGGATTTTTATGGACTTTTGTGATAGGTTTTAGTTTACTGACCTTCTTGAGGAAAATAGTGATAGAAGATAGTGGTAGGAAAGAAACTAAAGTTTCTGGCTTTTAGCTAATGCTCTCTAAGCTACTTTGTTGCAATCTGAACAGGAGAGATGCAGAAAATGGAAGGGAGTTGCCCCTGAGGGATAGCTATTTATAAAGCAAACAGTGACTCTTTAGTTATTACTGGCCTATCACTAATTTAATTTCTTGATTAGTCTTGTTAATCAGCATCTCTTTCTAGCATATATTAAACTCTCTTAAGCTTTAGCGCTCATATATTCTTGGGAAAACTTTATGATGTCTCAAATTATGTCGCCTAGCTTACTGGTACAATGTGTTTATTGAAGTTTTAATAAATTTGCATCCCTTTATAGTTTATATCATTGTCTATAAATTCGAATATACATGTTTACTTTACTTGTTAAGTCTAATCCCGCAGACACGTTAGGATTCAGATCACTTGGTCATTTATTTATGATTATTAATGTATTTATTTTATTTATTTAGCATGGCCTAAGACTTTCGATGTTTCCCTAACCCTATTGAAGCCACAATCTATAGTAACGTTTTAGTACCAAAAGTGTGGCATGTTATGATACACATGTTGTACTAGCTTTGAAGGGGAAAAAATAGGAGATAGACAGTTCTAAATATTAGTAACTCTTCGATCAATCTCATAAAATTAAATCAATTTTTATGAATACGGGGAATAATAAAGTAAAAAATATTAGTAACTCTTCGATCAATCTCATAAAATTAAATCAATTTTTATGAATACGGGGAATAATAAAGTAAAAAATGTATATACTACGTATAATTTATACCATGGAAAGAGAAACGTTATCAACCACAAAATAGTGTACAATACATGAAATGACCCTGAATCAAGATAAATTTTTCTAGGACAACTAGAAAAATGTTGATAAAGTTTAGTGGAATGGTGAGAGTACTACTTTTTCCACAAATATGAGTAAATACGATCACTCTCTAATTCCATTCCACTTATTATTCTATCAAGATAACTGTATTATATTGTTTGTTTAACAATATGGTCAGGAGATGTCATTAGTTTTTTTTTCTATTTTCCATAAAAAGTCTATGTGCTTATGGAAAACCAAAAAACCCGAAAAAGAAAAACTAGAAAATTTGTTTACTTAATTCTTTTCCTTAATGAGAAAAAACATGTTTCTAAGATCTCTCAAATCCCAATTCAGAAAACTATTTTAGCCGTTCTTTGAAATTAGAGAAATGAAAAACTTTGTGCTACATACGGTTAGGGCTGAGCACATTCTTGTCAAGACTGCAAAATTGAAACTGAGTCAAAATTGGATACATTTATTTGTAAAGATTGATAGCTAGAAAAGTAAAAAATTTAAAATTGGATACATTTATTTGTATGGAAAAGTAAAATCAGGTCCAATACCAGTCCGGTCATTTGAAATTCTGGTACTATATCATGGACCGAGTTATATGTGTCTTGTACGGTCTTTCGTCCAAAATGAAATCCAAATGAGAATGATCATAATGGTAAACTAATAATAATAATAGTAATAATAAAATACTATGTAATAAAAGTAGTTGTAATTATCATTTTTATACGGAGTACAATATAGTGTAAGAATACAAATAGTAAAAGCGATAATAATAATAATAATAATAACAATAATAATACGGAGTATAATGTAATAAGTTACTCCGTAATAACAGTATCATAACAACATTGTAATAATAGCAATACAAATAATTAATCAATAATGTCCAAGTTATTATCTTATAGAAATAAGGTATAAATTGTACCAATACGTACTATTCAAGACGTCCTTGTAAACATAATTGGGATATTGGCGAGCAGGAAGAGTTCAAATTAGAAGATGTGTATCGGTGCAAAGTGAGAATGGTTGTACTTTTCTCTCACCGTGTTGCACTATTGCATGTTTCTATTGCACTTTTTCACGGTGAAATAAAGCTTCGATTTATTTACGAAATTGTCACCGCATTTTTTATCAAATTTAGTTCATTGTTGGCTCATTTTGAGCCATTAGATCTGAAAACGAGTGCACAAGATTAATTCTTATTTTGTATGGGAAGACATCTTTGGATTTGAACTCTCTCCTTTGTCTATTTTTATCATTAGTTTTCATTAGGTCTCAACACCCTAAAGGGAACATTTAGAATGAAACTGCTTCAACTTATTTTGAATATTTAATTTATTTGTGAAGTATAGATAGTTGAAAACATATAAGAAATGTGTAAATATTATTTATAGTTTCCAAAATAAAAAATGAAAAAAGAAACAAGTTGTTAAAAATGTGTTTTGCTTTGAAAAAGGAGAAATAGGTATATTGGATAAATAAGTAAACGGACTATTTGGCACAAAATCATCAATCAATTCATGCCAAATATGTGTCAATCACAGAACACTTTTTCTTATAAAGTTTTTTCTTATAAGTTTTTTTCTTTATTGTACATCACTACAAAAAAACATGGTTGTTGGCATGGATTTTTTACGAAGATTCTCTAGAATTATGTTAAATCTATGCCCAAAACACTTTGGCACGAACTATTTGGCACAAAATCATCGGTCAATTCGTGTCAAATCTGTGTCAAAATCACAGAACACTTTTTGTAGTGCTTCTAGCTTGCATCTAGTGTGTTCTTAGAACATCAGCACTACTAAAGCATAATAGGTCACCCCCAAATAGAGCCATCAAGATGGGTCGTAACCCACGGGTTGGCCCGTTTCAACTCATTTATTGATGGGTTAGCGTTGTCATTTTCTGACCTGATTAATTCGCGGGTTTCACGGGTCAACCCACATGAGTTGTGAGTTCAGTGGGTTGGCCCGCACGTGTTGCGGGTTGACCCGCGGGCCAAAATAAAAATATATACTCTCTCTGTCCCGCTAAGATTGTCTCATTTTCCTTTTTCGAGCAATCCCACTAGTAAGATTGTCTCATACTACCTTTGTCCCACTAAGATTGGGACGAGAGAAGGTGGCACGATTATTAAGAAAAGTGGGTTTGTGTAGTTGATATTAAATTAATAAAGTAAGAATAAAGTAAGAATGATTTGGAGCCACACAATCTTTACCAAATTTGGTATGAGATAATTTTAGTGGGACTTCCCGAAAAGGTAAAATGGGACAATCTTAGCGGGACGGAGGGAGTACCAAATTTGGTCAAGTTTGTGTGGCTCTAAATCATCCTTACTTTATTCTTTTTTAACCAATTGAATATCAACCACATGAATTTATTTTTCTTAATAACTGTGTCACCTCCTCATGTCACAATGTTAGTGGACGGAGGTAGTAGTTTTAACTATCATTGTCTTCAAAATTGTTCTTTTACTTTCAAAATTATTGTAATTTCATTTTTTATTGGAAGGATTGTAATTACAATTATACACTTATCATTTTACAACCATTGCAAAATAATTACGAATATATTATTTCTATAATAACTATTCAAATCAAATCTATAATAACTACTCAAATAAATTGCTCAAATATATAGTTTAAGTAATGATGAATATAATATTTAGCAATTAGTAATCATGATATACAAATAATCACTCAAATGGATTAAGTAGATCCTTACCTTCGTAAAATGAGTATTTTTAATATTATTTAACTAACTAAACTTAACAAGTATTGTATGTTTAATATTTTGATTTCTTATATATATTTTATTACTACCTACCAATATAAATATATATGGTTGGGTTGGGTTAGGGTTGTAGAAGTTCTGATCCGTCACTAAACGGGTTGGTCCGACCCAATCCACGTAAAACATTACCAGACATGGGTCGGATCGGGTTGGCCAGTTTGACAGGTCTACCCCGAAATGTTAAGGACAATCAAATTTAAGGTATATACACATCCCCTTCCTCTACATATATACTCCCACTTGTATCACTATTTTATTGTACTTTCTTTGGGAAAAGCACTCTTGGCGCTTGAGGATGAAGTTTTTTTTGGCTTCTGGACCGTTCTTTTGTTTTATTTTTCACTTCTTCCATAATTGGATAGATTTTAGGGTTCAGTTCGAGATTTGGGTATCAGCTAGGTATAGTTTGGGTGGGGGTTGGGTGATAGTAGTGAACAGATGGGAAAATGACGTGTGAAAGTGATGTTTGATGGGGAGTAAACATGAGGCTGGGTTTACCACGCTCTATTTTAACCTTTAGTGTTTTAAAATGTCATTAAAGAATGGCAAAATTGACAATAATAGTCCCTACTTTTACACATGTTATAAAAATAATCTCTACTCATAAATTTCACAAAAATAATCCCTACTAGTTATTTGTTTCCCAAAAATAATCCGATTTTGACAATGTTAACTTTTCCGTTATTTTTTAAAGTTTTGAATATATCAAACCAAAAATATGTATAAAAATTAATAATATTATATTAGAGTTTAATCTTTTCCTACGATAAATAAATATATTTGAATTTAATTCAATATTCTACATAATTTTATTAATATTTAATGTATTATTACTAAAACTACTTCAGAATCTCTATTATAATTCATTTTCATTTCATCATTTTCATTTACCCCAGTGCCACAAAGACTCTCACTTACGGTGGGGTAAGGAGAGTCGGATGTACGTAGTCTTACCCCTGTACTAAAGCACAGAGAGACTATTTCCGGATGACCCATAGTGAAAATCGCATCCAAAATTGTATGGACTGACTGTTGCTCCATAACAAAGAAGCACAGACAATTTAGTGGGTCATTTTGCTTTATTCCATCATAATCTCAAACCAAAAAATAATGAATCTTTGGCTCCATTGCAAATGATGGAAAGGAATCTCTATTATAATGAATAACAAAAATGAATCTTAATAAAATATGGATAAGGATTATTGAATTTGAAGAGTATTATGTTTTATGAAAAACATTTCTATTATGTTTTATGGAAATATTGAATATTAAATTATTTTTTAGTAGAAACAAGATTAAATTCAAATATAGTAGTATCAATGTTCAGATATATTTTCTATTCAATATATTTAAAATAAAAAAATAACGGAAAACTTAATAGCGTATGCACTCGATTTATTTTTGTGAAAATTATTGTTGTGAACTTTTAGAGTAGGGATTATTTTTGTAAA